TAGGAGGAAAAAAGTTACATATTAATGAACGGGTAAATGCGGTGTCAGCTTTCCTGGGGGAATGTGACTACCCAAACTTAGGTATGTGTGGGGGTCTGTTAGCCTGAATCCTTATCTTGCTCCAGATCCCATTTGTTCATCTTGTAAAACAAATTCGTGACAGGAGGCAGTTAATTAAAACTAGGGCACTTTCCAAAGTTATTTATGGACTCTTTCTGTAAGCATCAGGGACTCCCTTGTAAAACAGATAGTGACCAGAGGTAGGCAATTAACCAAAGCTGTTTTATGGGCTCTTTCTTTGAGTACTGGGGGCCCTGTCCCACATTCAGGCCTTGGGATGAAAGCACAGTTTCAAGGCTTTCTTTCCCAGATAGTGGAAATGCTACACAGAATTTCAAGGACTTCCCTTCTTTCTTGTTAACATAGTGTTTCTTGAGATGTTGGAACACCTGGCAATATTATCAGACCAGGCTCAGGACTGCTGAGTTAGTATGTGAGACCTGTCTCCTTCCTCCTCCCTGCCTCGGTTTACTATTTATTCCACCTAATTGGTAAAAGGCGTTTCCTGGCAACCAGGGTGCTAAATGCTGGCCAGTAACAGTATTGCAGTCTCAGAGTTCTTCCTATGCTGTCTCCTGCCTCAAGGTGGTGTTAAAAGTGAACATATGACCCTAGCTGCTGTGGCTTAGTGGATTGAGTACCAGCCTGTGACACGAAGGATCACCGGTTCAGTTCCCAGTTGGGGCACAGCCTGGGTTGTGGCCAGTTCCCTGGTGGGGGGTGCATGAGAGGCAGACACACATTGATGTTTCTTTCCCTCTCTTTCTCCCTCCATATCCCTCTCTCTAAAAATAAAGAAAATCTTTTTAAAAAAGTGGATATATGAATTTAAGATTTTTGGTGTGAAATAGTCTGTTGTTACCCTGTTAAGATTCATATTCTGGCTCTGCCAGAACTGATGCAGACTCCGGCCAGCAATGTCCACAGTATCATGGATGCAACGAACAAAATCACACGGACTGCAGAAGTCCTGTGGAAAAAATGGACGGCGTGGCCACTTTCTGAGTGAGAGAGCGCCCCGACCCTTGCCTGGACAGGCTTTTATTGCTTTCTGGGAGCATTACATCAAGGAAGGTCCTCATTCATTATGCTCCAGGCAGTAACGATCTAACAATAGATAACATTCAAAGAACTATGAGGCTTATTCTGAGTCAGGGTTGGTTAGCTAAAGAGCCATAAAACTTTGGGAAACAAACTTATTGTATGCCTGGACCCTTATCAGAGAAAATCGAGGGCATTCTTAGCAAAGCAGGTTTCACAGGATTTTATGCATACTTTCCCAGGCCTGATCACCCGGGGAACTGCCTGTTCCTGCCCAGGGCTGCACCGCCCTCTGGCGTTGTTTCAGGCTGGAGTCAGGCAGGGGAAGTAAGGCAGCCTAGAGATTAGGAGGCTTCTCGCAGACAGAATGAGGATTCATGCTATGTCAAAGCTGAGGGGCGAGAGTCCATCACCCCCTTTTTCTATAGCCCCCCAAGTCCTTCCCTAAGGCTACCTTCATGACCATGCCTGTCTTAGGTTGTCCCTCCCTTGAGGAATCTTACCTGTCATTGGCTAACCAGTCACCTGCACTGGGGGCCAGGCAGGGTGAAGTAAAGGGAGCAAAGGCGGTGCCCCTGCCAGGGAGATAAGCTTTGTCTCCTTAATGGCTTATGGTGCTAACGTCTCTTTACTCAGCCTTAGCCACGGTGGGGGTTACAGCTTCTGAAACTAGGCAGGGCAGTTCCCAGCACAGAACCAAGTGTGACCTTGACTAAGATATTTCATTCTCTTTGCCATAGTTACTTCATTTTGAAAAAGGGAAGATGCTATATTGTATCACTTCTAAAACACGTTTGCAAAAACACTTTGAATCCACTGGAATGAGATGGCATGTCATCCTTTGTCAGTATTTTTTACTTTCTCATAGGTATATATAAAATAATGTCTTACAATAAACAGCGTTATGAGATTTGGTGAAATATTACCTATATCACAAAGTAATTATACAGAATAAATATGTAAAGTTCAGTTCCTGGCATTAACCGTATTAAAAACTTTTTCTAACTAACCCCAGCGTCTGAAGATTACCTTGTCACATTGCACCCATGTGATTCAGAGGCTGAGGCCCCATCAGGAGCAAGAATGGCAACAGGTACACAGATAAGGGGGCCAGCGATGCGTGTGTCCTGGCGCACAAAGTGATGTGCTGCCCTTTAGGGACAACATGTACCAACACAGAACACCCCAGGAAGGGGGCATGCTTCACCCATTAGACATGATTTTGTTAACAAAATAACACACAAAACACAGAGCTGATCAGAGGCAGAGTTTGGATTATTCCTTTAAGATTTAGTTTTCAATGTGTGTTACCACAGGAACGCAGGGCTCAAAAGCCAGGGGGGTTTTGACCTAACGTGAAGGTCAAACCTAATGCTCCGGGCCCAGAGGAAGATGCTGTTGAACGGAGCTGTGGGTGCGCACTAACCCAGCAAAAATACAGCTGGAGAAAATAAGGACAGACCTGAAAGGTGCTAGACATGGAAGTGTAACTCATTAAAACAAGAGAAAAGTTAAACCACGTTTTAAGTGGAATTAAGCGTGGCACTGTTAATGGCTTACTATTTAGGATTGATGACTTTCGCACAATGAATGTCACAGATGCGGTGTATAATGCGGCCAGCAGATATGGCTGTTTAGTTCTTGAGGGTGAAGAATAGGGCATATCTGATGCCTTTAAAATTATTGGTATTCATCGATGCCAATTTCTTTTAGAATTCTTTTTTTTATGGCTTGCTGTGCATATGTTATTATTTTGCCAGCTATTAGCTACAGGTTTGGCAGTGATGTAATGTTTTTCTCAGTTGCATAAAGAACACATACTGAATTGCTTGGATAGCTACAAAAACTAGTAAGAAGTAACACTTCCTGGGCCTAGGATATGCCAGGCACTATTCTATTCATTTTTTAAAAAATGAGTGAGCATGACATTGAAGGTCATTTACAAGTATTATTTTTCTATATCCATTGTACTAGTTTCTATTGAGACATTTATACAAGCCCTATGGCTACCTGTACAGAAATTTACTCAAGTTCATTGGACTTTGCAACGTGCTTTGTTCTACTTTTACAATTATATTTGTTTTCTCTGCCTTTATTCGATAGAAATTAGTTTAATATTAGTTTGGTTGGCTTCTCATGTGGTCATTGAAACACCATACTCACATGGGCTGTTACGGTTGCCATATCAAAGTGTGGGGCTCTATTTCCCCTGCATTTGCATATTTGAGCATTTTGTGCCCTGCTTTGTATCAGCCTTTACTGACTCTAATACATTTCTGTAAGGTTACGGAATGTTACTTTTTCCAGTGTTGATTAGTTTCCTATAGCCAGTATTTGTAGTTTCCTGTTAGATATTAGTACAGAACGTACTGTATTTGCATGAACAAAGAAAATGTTTTCCTCGGCACACCATTTCAGAACTTTCAAAAAAGGTAAATGGGATATACTAACCTATTCAGGAACAATGACTCTCAGATGGAGACACAGAGCAAAACATAAGCTTGCTGTATTTAAAAGAGGTATTTAAGTGAAAAATTCCAAATGCTTGAAAAAAAGATGAAGATGCCCCAAAAAACCTATCTCTAAAAAGTACCAAAAAATAAAAAAAAATTGCAGTGCTACAAGAAAGAAAATGCCTTAAAGGTAAACAAAGAAGTGAAGAAATGAATCCAGAGAGGCAAGAGGACCCTGATTTAAGCTCTTACCTTAAGAGAGTCTCTGCTGATCGAGGATGAATTTAAGCTTCCACTTAAGCTTCCACTTACTGAAAGCTGCAGGGGGCCGGGAGAGAGGAAACAGAGCTAGCTAGGGGGTGCCCAGAGTGAGGAGGCTGCGGAGACCCCCATGCGCAGCCAGAATGCCTTAGGCTCCAGTGAAAAGGGAACAATAGCAACAACAAAACAAAAATGAATTCAAAGCAAACATAACCACAGTAAAACAAACTCAGAAGAGAAGCACAGGAAGAAAATGTGTCTGTTACGAACTCCATGCTAGGTAGAGCGAAAAGAAGTCTTTAGTAGTGTGTTGAATAAAATATTTCTCATGTCATTAGTTTTGACATTGGAAACTAAATTCAAAGGTAACAGCAAGTTTATAATATCCCAAAATTTTACTTTTGATTAGAGGCATGACTGGTAACTTACTGCTGTATAACACTCATTCATTTCTGTGGAGTTGGATGATAAGTTAGAGTGCTACACTCAGCTTTGCTCGTTTTGCCACTTTTGTCATTGTAATCATTGTAATGTTCTTTGTGTTCAAAGGATCCCACTAACCGTCTTAAAAATTCTCCAAGAACTGATTTGAGAAAATTACTATATAATTAATGCATAATATAAAATTGATAAATCGCCTATCGCTGAAGAAGAGTGACTCCTTGCAAGTGTGCCTGGGAAGTAACAGGAGCCCCTGGGCTCACTGCAGAAGGGACAATGGCCTTCACTTCCAATAATTCAGGGTGATGTGGGGGGTGACACTTCCTTATCCGTGCGGGGAGGGGAAGTTTGTGGTGCCGGAGCAGAACTCCTTGGGTCTTTGAAACTTTGAGCTTTTGGGAGTTCTCATACAGCAACAAGTGGAGACATGAATCTTTTTGGAAGGCCTCTCCTTTGTTATGTGAAAACCACCCCAATGGGCCTTTTAGTTAGAGGAACTGAAGCGAGTCCTCACCTAACACAGTGTTTGGGGGGAAACCTGTGACATCACAGGTTTTAATCTGAAAGCAGGTGTTCTACAGTTAGACTGAGCAGCTGAGTAAACTGGTGTGTTAATACAATAGTTGTGTGTGTTTAAGTCATGTTGTCATTTGGCATTAAAGTTAGCACGCCTGAGGAGATGCCACAGCTCAGAGTTTTCCTAGATTCCAAATGAATATTAATTAAAATGAAATTACATTCCAGTGGTTTAAAATGAGAAAACTTTAAAATAGGGTGAACAACCAGAAATCAACAGAATGGGAGCTACCGAAGGCAAATGGAATTAATCACAATTTTCCTTTTGATTCCCTTTCATCCATGTGGGCAGACATTTCTCCGCACAAAGTTTGTGTAACGTTGAATGACTGAGGGCCCACATCTCCGGTTACAGTTTTCACCCCTTCAGGAAACAAATCTTTTTAAAGATCACAGTAGGTACTTAAATACTTGGTGATTGATGTGCGATCTCATTTGGCAGGAAAGACTTTAGTTCAAACTCATCTATAAAGTCCTTGAGAAATGGATGCACTCTTCGAGGTGGATTACATCACAGTGTACACACCCCAACTTGATAGGCAGGCATTAGCTGGCTTCCAAGTTTGCATTCTTTAAACCAGGAAAACAGAGGAAATCCAGACTCTTCAGTTTAGCCTCTGCCTTCTCTATAAACTCCTTGGAGGCTTTCTGCAGCGGAAGCCGGGGTGGGCCCATGGGAATCCCAGACACCAGCGTCATGACGGCTTTGGTCTGCGGCACTCCAAAACCTATACAGAAAAAAGTAAGAGAGGACAACATGACTGGGACTGTCCACTCCACCACGCACATCCCAAAGAAGAGGTCTCATTCGTACAGTGACTATTACGAGACAGCATGAGGTGGACTGAGAAGTGGGAACATTTCTAGTCCACATGGCAGACTTAGAAGACATAGGGAATCCTTCTTCCTGCTTCAAATACATAGAAATGCGGGGGAAAATGTTTCTAACAAATTGACAAGCTGCAAAACAAAACAAAGTAAGCCTCAAAGTCAACCGCAAAAGCAAGGAGGAGGGACGGAAGTTATCAGGAATAAAGAGGTCAGAGCAGTGAGGAGCTGAAGCCAAAAGATCCATGAAAATAATCTGATCCAGGGGTACACTCCTGTCGATCAAATGATACAGGGCTTTATCACTAGAATAGAATTTCGTTCAAGCGTACCTAAGAAGTCCCTGAGAAACGCGCTATTTAAGGTAGTTTATGAGTTAAAGTGGCTGTTCTGGGGCTGGTGCTCTAAAGCTGGGGCAGGAATGCAAAGCAAGCCTGGGGGCTGTGCGTAGCAAGGATCTGGACTCAAACTCCTTGTGTCAAACTGGTAGCCAGCCTTCCATGAAAAGCAAGAAAATAAAATCTGGCCCACTGGCTTAAGGATAGAGGCATATAGCCCTCGACGTGTGCCAGGGCTGTGGAAGATAAAAGATCATGTGAAAGAAATCCCCAGCCTGTACCATGTATGAATGACAGATCCGTATTTGCATGATGCACTTGGCGTAGGAACCAGACTAAGGAAAGAACGAAATAGAAACTGAGGCACGGATACATGAAACAAACCGACAGGGACTGGATGAAAGAGGGTGAAGGGATTAGCTGAAGAACGTATGTGCATAGCCCGCAGGGACATGCAACAGTGTGGTGATGGCCAGAGGGGAGAGGGGGTGATGGAGGGGGAGAGGTGAGCACAAAGGGAAGGAGAACAGGACATCTGTAATGATGTAAACAACAAAAAGTGAAGGAAGGAAGGAAAGGAGGGAGGGAGGGAGAAAGGAATCAGAGGGAGGGAAGGAGGGAGAAAATAACCTAGATTGGTTAGAACTGGTGACACCACGTGCCCCAGGGCAGTCAAACACAAAACCACTCAACAGGACCCCTCACAACCTAGAGGACAATGGGTTCCCCAGGATACAACGGTCTCTGAAGATGAGTTCAGAGTTAAAAGTTACAGAGCACAGGAGGAAAAAGAAGCTGCACTGAAGTCAGCAAACGCACAACTAGCAAATTGCACAGCCTGCGAACTGAGGATATAGAATTCTGCAAGAGACTTCACAGAGCTAAAAGAAATAGAATCCATAGGCTAAGAGAAGGGCATATAAATAAAGAGCAGGAAGATTTGGAGAAAAAAAACAGACAGTGAGAAATACTGGAAATAAAAAATAATCAGTGAAAGTAAACATAGCTAAAGACAGAATCCGTGATTTTGAAGGTAGATCTCAAAAAATAATCCAGAATAGAGAAAAAGATACATGTTTTCTTAACTGTCTATTGCTTTTGGATCCATGGTATAAGAAGTAACTTTCTTTTGCTAAAATAACTTAGTTACAGTAACAATTTAGCATTGGGAAGGAAAATACTAGAATGACTAAATATAGAGAATATGGTTTGATGAGAGCAAAATGGCCCTCCCAGGCTCACTGTGAATGGTGGGATAGGGAGCTGCCTTCATGCTAGGGCTGCAGGTCTCTCGAGATAAGTTTCTCTTTGACTAAACCACAACAGCTCCAAGTCCCAAGAAAGTCTGAAATGAGCTTTTTAAGATATGTTCTTCTACAGCATGAAAACTATCTTCAAGATTCCTCTTTTAAAATGCAAATATTCCAGAAAAAAGTTAATAATTTCAGCTAATGCCTTAGAGCTATATTTTGTAGACCATTGTTGATATGCAAAACAGTATTATATATACAGGTAAACTTTTAGTTCTTTTAAAAATGAAATAGTTCAACATCTACTTCAATGCACTTTAGGACCATGTAACTATCATAAGAAACCCACAGTTCTGAAAAAAGTATTGCTTAGGGAAAGGGAATAATAACAGGTCATTAATAGTACTAGTGGCACACAGATACAACAAAAATCAAGAAAGCAGAAAAGCAAATGGACTCTGGCTGGTGGCTCAGATGGTTGGAGTATCATCTGGTACACCAAAAGGTTGCGGTTTCAATTCCAGGTCAGGGCACATACCAGGTTATGGGTTCCATTCCTAGTCAGGGCATGTACAGGAGGCAACCAATCCATGTTTCTTTCTCTCTGTCTGTCTGTCTGTCTCTCTCTCGTCAATAAAAACATATTGTCAGATAAGGATTAAAAAAGAAAAGCAAATGGGAGCCCTGGCTGGCGTAGCTCAGTGGATTGAGCACGGGCTGTGAACCAAAGCATCGCAGGTTCAATTCCCAGTCAGGGCACATGCTTGGGTTGCAGGCCACAGCCCCCAGCAACTGCACATTGATGTTTCTCTCTCTCTTTCTCCCTCCCTTCCCTCTCTGGAAATAAATAAATTAAATAAAAAAAAGCAAATGGGAAACATTGTCTTTGAAGGGCTGAGTGAGCTGAGAAGCCTGTGAGAACGAGGGACATAGTACATACTAGGTGCTTCAGGCCCAGGAGCAGTGGCCAGGATATGCCAGAAAAGGCTCTGAATAGGAGGTAGAAGGTTTGCCAAGAATAAAGCTAAAACATTTCCTGGACCTAACCCGAGTTCTTAGGAAGGGTCAATCTCTTGCAGAAGTAGAGTGAATGATAGCATTTGCCATGTGTCATAGTATAAGACAGGAGACTCTGGAGATGTTTCTCTCCTCAATTTCACCACATTTCCCTCAAATTTTACATTTGTCCTATTATCCAATCCTCAATCCATTTAAACTTAGTTGTGTTGACAAACTCTTTTGAAGTTGCAAATACTCTTGGGAGAGCTGTCAGTCATTCACAATTTAGTAAGATCTATATTCAGACTGCCTTCCTCCCAGCACTTAGGCGGAGATGAGCTGCAGTGCGGTAGGAGAATTTTAATGAGAAGAGGCAAGTGGAGGGGGGCAGTGCTGATGGCTCAGGAGAGAAGGAATAAAAAACGGTGCATGCCTGGGCTGGGGAGGCGAACAGGGTGCTAAAGTGGCAGAGGGAGGTTTGAGAAAGGGTGCCTTCAACTAGATTCACTTAACCATTTTATCAGGTCGGTCCTGAAGGTTAGCATTGGAAATAACTCCGTTTGCAACAGAGTGTGAAAAGGTGTTCCCGTTGAACCCTCAGAGAAAGGCCATTTCCTTTACATTCTCCAGCAGCAGACCAGGCAGGAAACTTACCCAGTTTGACCACAAAGTTGATGAATCTCTGAATACAGAACTGGAAAGGAACAAACAAATCTATAGTCAGTATTCTTGGACTATGACAACAATGTAAAGAACTTAGAAGTCAAGTCAGAGGAGTCCCAAACCCAAAAGTCCACACACGTTAATTTTCGGAAAGCCTGCCAGAGAGAAGAAAATCAGCCCAGTGAGGATGGCTGGAGACCCATCCAGGGCACAGCAGGGTCTTGTCATACAGTTACGCTTTGCAAAGTGAACCCGCACAGAAAAGAAGTCCCGATGACAGGATTGTGCAGTAGAGATGCAAGAGAGGGAAGACAGCCTTTAGCCCATCAAGCTCAGGCGGGTAAACATATCAGACAGTGCAGTTGTTTCCTAGCCTCTGGGGTACTTTCCAAGACACCTACGGGGCAAACGGCCAAGATGAAGATTTATGGGAATCAGCTTTTAATCACTCAGCTTCTACAAGTGCCAACTTCCAAAACTGATCAGAATAAGAACTCACACATAAGGGAGCGGTGGGTTGTCCTTTCATATCTCTCCTTCCACAGTCCTTCTCTTTCTTCCCTTTTTGAAAAAATAAGGACATACCTCCCACAGCGCTGCCCTGGGACACCTCTGGGAGCCAGATAAAGGGGCAAATCAGAATGTTGGCATTGGCATTGACAAAGAAAGTGACAGAGTAATTGCTCCAATGGATGGAGAACGAGTTTTCTTAAAAAAAAAATCAGAAGTTTTCAGTTTCTTGCTTTCAACCTGGCTATTTGGGTTGTCAGCTGAAAATCATGAAATGATCAGGCCTTCTGATGTTTGGCATGTGACTCAAAAAGAACTGAGTGACACGGCTCGAGCAAAATCTCCTCCATTCTTATCTAGTCATTTATATGGACAGGGGTTCACAGCACTTACTTCTCTACAACAAAAACCAGAAATAATGTCCGTGCTGAACTTGAACTCATCTTAGCATTAAGTAGTACTCATCCTAGATTTCACGCACTAATTCATAAAAAAGGACTCCCATCCATCTCATTAAGAGATGTAGTTTCAATAACATTTTAATTTTATGCCATTTTAATCAAATGTATAGTAGTCATAACAATTCAAAGCAGAACAAAATTTTAATATTCAGAGGCTTACAAACATATGTATATTTCCCCCCTCACTCCCAAACTACAGAGCATCGCATTCACAAGCCTGAACTTCGCTGCTTTTTTCCACTTCATATGTCATGGAGATCTTTTCAGACCTGTGCATATAAACCTGGCTCATCCTTTTAAAGCGCTGTCTATCATTTGATTGTATGATTCAAAAATGATGCATTTAACCATTTCCTTATAGATGGATATTTGGGCAGCTTCTATCTTTTGCAATCCTAAATAATACTATAAGGAACATCTTTGTACATGTGTCTTTTCACGTACGTAAGTATAGCAAATGGTATTCAAGCCCATGAGAATGACTAAGGTCCACTCCAATTAGTTACTTGACTGCCTCTTCACTGGACTGCAAACTCCTGTAGGGCAGAGACCAGCTTTACTGAAATGCTGCGCTCCGCTCAGCCCCTGGCATGTGTGTACATGAGTAAATGGGACCTACTTGCACTTGCCTTCTGCAAGCAGAAACAGAGAACACGGTACACTGACTTCCTTATGAATACTGCGTTGAGGAGGAGGATTTATTTGAGCATGACTAAAGGGGAAAAAAAGAGATGGCAGCTGGATCAGCCAAGAAAGGAACCACTAAGGGTCCACCTCACGCTGTTTCTCAGACCCCTCCATCCTGTGCTCTCCCTGTGTTTCTGCTTGGGACAGGTTGCAACGTTCAGAAATAACTTTTTCTGGGAAACTAAGGAAAAGAAAAGACATGAATGCAAAGAGATGGCAGCGTCCACACAATTCACACCTCTTGTCGTAATTGAAATCAAATTCATGCCAATTTTTAATTTATTTGGCATAGCTTCCTAAGTCCCTACCCTGTTCCTGCTCTCAGCTTTATCTGGTCTGGGGCTGAACAAAGGTAAATGTTTAAATAAGCTGTTTCACCTCCAAGTAGGAAGCAGATTTCGGCTGGCTCAGAGCGCAGGGCGGGCCGCCTGCTCTGGTCTTGCTCCTGTGTTTCCTTCCTACTTAGTTTCTTGGGATACTCCTCACGGTCACGTCCATTGTCCTGAAACTCCGTGTGCCTCTCGGCCTCCAGAAGTCTTTCTCTTGTGCCTACTCTGCTTCTTTCCACCCCATCCATTTCCCTGAAGCACACACACTGCCCAGGGGCTGAGACCAGCTCTGTCCAGTGAGGCCCTTTGTTCCCTGGACAGCCAGGCCGTCCTCCCTGTAACTGTCACAGCAGCCGCCGCTTCCCCAGGCTCCTCCCCGCCACAATTGAGCTCCTGCTGCTTTTCCTTCCCTGCTTCAAAGCCAGCGGCTCCTGCTTCCTGCCTAGTGGATGTCTTCTGTTGTCAGCACATTTTCATGGGGAAGAGGACTAACTAACCTGCTCTGACTTTGAATGACATCTCCCTACTGCAGGTCACCAGCGTCACAGCTTCTGGTGACTCGGGTGTGACATCCTCAAGGGGATGGCATGTGGTCATCCCCCCAGAAATCTACTGTTACTATTTTACAGTTGCAAAAGTACTTTGAACACGGAGTAAAAAGAAGATCATTTCCAGGAGGAACAGAGGAGTCATTCCGGTATGGGGCCTGCCCTGGTTAGACGTGTAGGGGGCATGGACAACGGGCATGGGTTTGATTTTAAACAACAAAAAAAGCAAGAAACAGGAGGCGAGTAAAGAAAGAGACAGCTGGGCAATCTTAACAAGGCGGGCATGGCAGGATGAGAGAGCCTGAGAATTCACCAGCGGGAAAGCACAAAGGCTGGGATGCATGTGGAGGGGGAAAAAAGTTAACCTGGTGATTCAGAGCCGAAGAGAGGTCCTTCTGTTCAAAAGCCTCCAACATCTGGTTTGTCTTTTTCCCCAGGTAGTTGTAGGTGCTGGAAAGAAAACAGCATGTGCTGAAGGGTCAGCAACCCGGTGGGAAAGGTCCGGGCCACCACACCCCCCTGCGGCCCACAAGGCACAGATAACCCATCCTCCAGAATGCATTTTTCCGGCTCTGACCTACCAGGGGGGTCAGGTGACTCCAGGTCTGAGGTTTCCAGCATCACTGAGCAGTGCCCAGAGGAGGCAGAGAACACTCTCGTGATGAAGAAAGTGAAGGAAAGTGCGAGAAGGATTAAAGGAGAAAGAAGAAGAAGAAAGGAAAGAAGGACGTGTGTTTAGTAAGAAACCACCAGCCACCCCCTGCCCCAGGGCACAGAGACCCGCGCTAGATAAGAACTGTGGGGAAGAGGCAGTGTCTGAGGTGAGTCCCGGAGGCCTTAGGCTGAGGAAGTGGGTGGAGGGTGCCCCACAGTACAAGGGGCAAATCCCAATGGATTACCTAAATTCAGAATTTAGGTATTACCAGTTTCCAGAAAATAATAATGATAATAAAATAAGAGGCCATTTACTAAGTGTCTATTATATTCGATGTGCTTCACACAAAGTGTGTCTCATTCTCCCCAGGCCCTGCAAGGCAGGCCTGGTCTCCATTGCACTGCAAGGAAGGTGGGGCTCAAGAAGGGCTACGGCGTTATCTTGAAGTTTCCATCACTTCATGTAGTGCTCCGTGACAAGTCAACACAAAGGGAAGTTATCTGATCTCATAAAATGTTCTTGTGCATTAAAAAAAAAGCTCTGACTTTAGCAATAAAAACAAATACTTCAAACTAATCACTAAAATCTCAGAGAAACCAGAAAGATAGGTTATAAAAATTTATAGCTAGGATGTTTCCCCTTTGTTAACAACTTCTTGTAAAGCAAGTTAGTATGAGAACATAGGCTTATCTTGGACTAAGAATAGAATGTTCTTCACGTATGTAGACCCAGGAGTGGGTTCCAAGAACGTGACGTGTGTATTATTGTCTGGTAATAAAATAAGGAAATGAAAATATAGCTGAGAAAAGTCACTTGTAGGTGTGAAACACTCCGAAGTCCCAGTGTGTGCACGAATGTCTGAGGGCTTCCAGAAAACCACATCCAAATCCCAGGGGTCTTAGCCGTGTCCTCAGTTAGACGGAAAGGAACAGGGTTATAAATGAAGAAGACGTGAAGTCTAACCAAACGTACTCTGCTTATAAATCATGTTGACAGAATTACAATGTCTAGTATCGAGGCCAAAAAATTGAGAGTCAGAAAAGTCACACTTTCCAGGGGGAAAAAGTTTCCACGGCCGGTAGATGCAGGTTTCCTTGGTAGAAATGGCCTCACCGTGATGATGGATGATGCAGGCCCTCCCAGCTTGTGAGCAAGCCATTAAGACTATCTAATTCAGTTACTCAAGGCCATGCTCACCAAGACATGCTATGAATGTTACTTTGCTTCCCCGGTACATCTCCTGCAGGGGAGAAATGCACTTTCAGTTAGTGCGAGTATTTTAATCCATCTGCTTGCATGTGCGTTTCTAATGAATTAGGTTAGTTAACACGTGCAGTGGACATGCTGATCCAATTGCCTTCTCCCCTAAGCCTTCTGCTGAGCCTCTGTGATTCTGCTTTCCTGGCTGCAGCACACAGGACCTGAGGTGCAGTCTTGATTATCTGGTGACATCCTGACATGCCATGTATGGGCAGCTACAATCAACCGTGTGTATGCCGAAGCAGAGAGAGCTCATCTGGAGAGAAAAAGAGCGGGAAAGAAAGAGCTGTGCACAGAGATGCAGAGGGGAGCATCTCCAGAGGACGGCAGATGGATGGAGACAGAGCTGCCTCGGCTGTTGAGAGCCTTATAGCTCTGGATTCTCGTCTTCTCTTAGACCTGCCTATACTTCCTCCTCTTGAGTTTTATGTAATTTCCCAGTATTTTATAATAACACCTTAGCGTGCATATGCTAACGGTTCATGTTATCTGTAACCGAATGATTTCTGACCAAGACATTCTGTGCATGCCCTGAGCTCGAGTACCTGACCTCTCCCGGCAACAGATGCTCCTAATAACAAAAACCGAGTGGCTAAGTGCTACTTAATTCCCTCTCACCGGAAGACAGTGGGGAAGAAAGGCAACTTCTACAGAAAAGGTGTGCATGCAGGAAGTATTGCTACTTAGAAGGAGAATGCCTCTCTGGGCGGGGGGCTTTTATACATTCATACATTGCTGACCACTGGGAAACGTGAGTCCTGCTTACCTGCCCACGGCTCCCGTTGCTCCCATCACCAGAGCACTCAGCAGTTGCTGGTCGGAAACAGACAAAGAGTATTTACTTTTGTAAAAAAGAGGGAGAAGATGCGACTCTATAAGCAGCTCCAGAAATGGTTTTGGGGGCAAACCGGCCAGCGGGACGTGCCCAGCGGCGACTTACCTCATCCACCCCAAAGAGGAGAGCAAAGTGCCGCTGGCGGTGCTGATCGACGCACTGCCCGAAGTCTAAGAGATCCATGTCACTGAATTTCAGCCCTCCGAAGGTGGGGACCTTCTCCTGAATCCCGTCCAACAGCTCTTCGGCACGAACTGCTCAAAACAACGGGCGCCTCGTTAACCTGCCCACCTCCCGAAAACATCCAACAGCCTCCCACATGGCCGCACGCCTCTGCCCTGAGGTCCCAGGAGCCGTTCTCAGCCCAAATTGACTGCGGGTTGGACATGGCTGCTTGCCCTCACCTGGCAGGTCCTATGTGTTATACTTGTCAAATGATAGCCCCAAGTCTCCCGCTCCCTGAAGACTATTGACGAATATTTATAGAGGACAACTTCTATTTTTATTTTTAAGAAAGGTAGACAGGAATGGAGTATTAAAAGTAATCTAAAATATTTCGTTTCATTGTGAGAATCTTCTTACTGGACAAGTAGAATGGTAGTAACAGAAGAGCTAGAAGAAAAGCAAGAAAAGATCAGAGACCCTTGCTATGTGCCAGGCACTTACACTACAGTTGGGTACAAGGTAGAGAGACACAGTTCTGTCCCAGGGCTGTGTCTTCCTTCGTGAGAAGGAGCTGGGTGTGTGAAAGACACAAGGTGTCTGCTAGAAGGGTCTTGGTGTCAACTCCTCTTTCGTACTCCATTTCCATTGTCAGCTGGTGTCAATGACTGTAAGGGCTGACTTATTGCCAATGAGAGTGGCTTACTTCGGAGCAGTAGGAACCATGTAATCAACAGTGCTATGCTCTTACGACATGGGGTGGGCGGGAAGGAGTGAGTGGGGTTTCTTTGTGCAATAGGGTAAGATGGGAGGGGGTGGAGAAGGAAACCTGGAAGGAAGCAGTACTCACTCTTTACCCCCGTCAAGGAAGGGATGTGATAGTAATAAAGGGGCAGTCCTGGGGCAGCGGCGGCCACCTCCTTCAGGAACTCAGTGAGGTCATCTGAAAGAACAGCCGGCAAAGCTGTGATGTGAACACTTGTGACACACTGGCTTTCCCTGGTAGACGAACCATCTAATGAAACGCAGCCATCCTTTGCGGAAGCCAAAATTCTTGGCCCCTCTTGCCATCCCTGAGACTGCTTGCTGCAATATCTTTGTAACTCACTTCATTCGAAGTTTTATTTTCCTTTCTGTAGAAAGGCCAAAAGACACTATCACTTTCCTACCATTTTATTTTATTTAAAGAAACATTTATTTATTTTCAGAGAGAGGGAAATGGAGGGAGAAAGAGAAGGAGAGAAACATCAATGTGTGGTTGCTTCTTGCACACCCCTTCCTGGGGACCTGTCCTGCAACCCAGGCATGTGCCCTGACTGGGAATCGAACCAGTGACCCTTTGGTTCGTAGGCCATCGCTCAATCCACTGAGCTATACCAGCCAGGACTTTTCCTACCATTTTAAAGTACTACTAAAACACTGGGATGAACCTTCCCACCTGTTAAGAGAAGCTCATGAAACACTTTCACAAAACAAGAAGCGCATAGGTAGGACTCCTGTCCTCTTACCCCAGAAGGGTTAAGTGCAGTCAGTGAACAACACAGACTTTGCATTAGGACCAGAAAGAGAAAGCTGTAACAGAAAATTCTGCAACGAAAGGATAAGCAACATGTGCTCAAAGAGGGAAGTTACAAGGGTAATCACATATCCCTGGCCAAGTGGCTCAGCTGGTTGGAGCATCGTCCCATACACCAAAGGACTGTGGGTTCATTTCCCAGTCAAGACGCATACCTAGGCTGTGGGCTTGATCCCTGATTAGGGTGTGGAGAAGGCAACCAATGGATGTTTCTCTCTCACACTGACACCTCTCTCAAGAGGCATCAACATCCCACAATAATTCAAGCAGGGTTTGGCGCTTTTTCCTTTTGGGGAGAAATCCAGGTATATCAGAAGAGAGCTCACTCTAGTTTACAGAGGTCTGGGGACTTTCTACATCATCATCCCGTGTGAGCTCTAATTGCAACATTACTGCAGAGAATAAACAAACCCAGCAGACTTTCTGATGCCGTTGGAAAGTGGGAGAGAGAATCTTACGTTCTTCACCTGAATACTGTGATGATGTATTCTGTCTGTGATAAATATTTCTGATAAAATTATTATGTATAATTTGTTCTTTTTCCCTATCTTTTGGAGAAAGTATTCATGTAGAATTTTAAAAAGCCATGTGAAAAAAAAGTCAAATGTTCATTTTAAAGTCCCCAAATAGCAGTATTTAAATTACTTATCTTTCTTAACAAGTATTTTCTCTCAACCAATAATAGATGTTATTTCATGATAACTTCAACCCATTATCCATTTAGTTATGGATTTATTTAATTGTGCATGAAAATAACATCTTGTCTGTTTCTAATCCTTTGAAAATTTGTGTTTCTTTTTTTTTTGCTAATCAAAAGAATGAAAAAGACTCCATGTACTTGGAAACCACAAATAGTTTTTATAGAGAGGGTAGAGGAGGAGAAAACAATACCTTGGTATTTTGGAAGACAATAGATGTTTCTGTGAAATCTCCTTTCAAATTCATCACTCACTCAACCTCGCACAGTACATGTAGTCTCAAAATGCTCAGCACTTATATTCCTCCTTTTTTGAGAAAAATGGTCCCATGCTTCCATGTGACTCTGAACTCTGCACAGCTGGCACACCAAGGCATCTGACCCAAACACAGGCACCTACGGCTTGACCCAGGGCTTGGTGGATGACCCAATCAGATTGCTTGACAAAAGAGCTGAAATCTTTTAATGAAGTCTTTTCTTTTATGGATCCAGGGAGGCCAAATATTGTGGAGAACTGCTGTCCCACTGCAATGTCATGCCTCCGGTCCTCCATCAAACTACTTTCACGGGTTAAATTAACCATGGTGAATGAAGGCAAGAAGAAGTGGAGCATCTAGACCCGCCTAATTACCTTTGTTCTGCGGCTTGAAAAAGAAAGGTGCAATGACAGCGATGCCGTTGGCTCCTATTTCTGCTGCATGTTTGGCCTTTGAAAGAAGAAAGAGGACTGTTGGGGGTCTGGTGGCAATGCTGACGTGTGTGGGTCTGGGAGTTTTCTCACCCCAACAAGCAATTCTCTGACACTAGCTGGGTGTCCCACAATTCAAATCAACTCTGACACTATCTACCTGGACATAGGGTCAGATCTCACGGGTTCTCAAGGGTTCCATCCCCTAACCTTCTCTCCCCATTCAGGTAATAACCCAGGTTATTACCTGTGCTTCTGACCCAGCAGCTATAGATTAGAGGTTCCAACAACCCCCTCATGGGTTGATTAACCTGCTACAGTGGCTTGCAGAACTCAGAGAAACATTTTACTTACTAGAAAACCGGTTTATCACAAAAAGGACATAACCCAGGAGGAGGCGCACAGGGCAAGGCATGGGGCAAGGGAATGGAGCTCCCATGCCCTGGGGAATGCAAGTGGGCCACTCTCCCCGAATCTCTACCTGTTTGCACCCTGGAAGCCCTCTGGCATCCCCTCTTTTGAATTTTTATGAAGGCATCATTTCATAGGCATGACTGATTAAAAGACTGGCCATTGGTAATTCAACTCCCAGCCCCTGCCCCTGTAATCCACTAGTCACTGGTCGGTTGTCCTGGCAACCACCCTCCTCCTCAGGTTCTTTACAAAAGTTACCTCTTTACCTAATAAGAGACACCTTTATTGCTCTTGTCACAGGGAATTCCAAGGGCTTTAGAGGCTCTTTGCCAAAAAAGGGACAAAGACCAAATACAGCAGTCCTTCCTTATTCATGTAGCTGGTTTATTTCCCTTAACATAATGTCTTCAAAGAGACTCATCCATATCGTGGCACATGACAGGATGGATTTCCTTCCTTTTGAAGACTGAATAATACCCCACTGTAGGGATGTGCCCCATTTGTTTATCCATTCATCCTCAGATGCACATGCGGGCTGCTTCCACCTCTTGGCTACCATGAATAATGCTGCTGTGAACCTCAGTGAGGGCAATCCTCTGTGTTTCAGTTCACTCTCCAGCGCTTCAGGCAGCCAGTCTCAATTTTTACCACTCATCATGACTGAACCCCACCTTCCACCCCCTTTAGGCCCAGCAGGTGGCCTGGCCTTTTACTTCCCAGAGAAAACAGTTTGGCTGAAAGTGTGCTGCTTCCCGGCGAACTCCGCTACCTCTATTCCCATCCTCACTTTGCTCAGAGAAAAGGGGTGCCTCCATCTTCTATTCAAAGCTCTGCTACAACGGTTATCACCTGGGCTATTCCCTCTGGGGCTCTGGGCCTGTTTCTGGATGGGGAGCTCTGTGAGTTCCCACACCTAATATTCTCCAGCACAGCATCCAATATGTAGCAAAAATTGCACTGATCGTAACTTCAGCATAAAAACAGAGGGCCCCGAGTGGTCTCTCCCAGACGGACCTACGTACATACCAGTTCCTGTGACTCCTTCAAGCTCAGGGCTCCTACATGAATTACCACCTGATCCAACCTGCGAACGAGAAAGTGCCGCTGCATCACTGGAAGTTGATGACAACACAGAAGGGCTGCGGCGTCTTGGTGTGTGCTGGTTTTAGCAGCTAAGTAATATCTGACTAATCTCAGTCTCATGACTGTCAAATTCTGCAGTGGTCTATTTATAAGTAACCTAACTTGGGATTAAAAAAAATGTCCAGAGAATAACATTTAAGGTTCAGTCGAGGAGTAGAATTTTTGAAACCAGTGGCTGATTAATCAGTGCTTGAGTACTTTTTTTGGACACAGTATTGTTTTAGGTGCTGTATTTGACGGTGATAACATGCATAAAGGTAGGTGTAAAAATGAGATTTTTTTGTGTTTGTGTAGGAGATAAAAATAAAGAGGTTCCTCAAAGAGAACAACCAGGAACTAGCCACGTGAGAAGTGAATTCACTGGAAAAAGCTTTCCCCCATCTCGTCAGTCCCTAGAATTTGGCCATCAGAGGTTTTCTCCAAGACCCCAGTGCTCATCGCTGGAGGTGCTCGGTGTGGCCCCCGTGGAAGAGGCCACAGTGAGACTGGTCTTCTCAGGGTAGGACTGCTCAGACTCAGCTGTGGATCCAGGTGTCCCAGCGAGGCTGAGGGACTCTGAATGACACAGACCTTGTCCTCATGGGATGGTTTCCACTGAGGCCCAGTTGCGTCCTGCACTGATCCTTGAGTTGTCTGTCTTAGATAAAACGGGACCTAGCTCGGAGAGGACATGATCAGGTTTGCATTGTTAAGGGACAATAAAAGACTCCGGAAGGAGAAAAGAAGCTGACCGACCTGTTTTGCTCTCACCGGAAGCTTTGTTGCAGGACCTCCTTGACCCTTTCTCTTGGCCCCAGTTAAAACAGCCACCCATGTCCTGCTCCTGCCCACTGAAATGTGAGGTGCTGCTAGAGAAAACCACCCTATGGCTTTATCACAAACTTCCTGCTTCAGGAGAAGGAGGCTCCAAAAAGCCTTCTGGTCAACCCAACTGACTTGCTTTTCCAATTCCCTGCAGTGGCTACTCCAACTCTTCATTATTCTCCTTAAGATCTAAATTCCACCCCAGCTCCTTGTTCTGGGCAGATGTCTTCACTCCCTGGACACCAAAGGTGAAGCAGCTTTCACGCACAGCTCCCCTCACTGTTCCTGCTCCACACTTAGCCGAGTCACCGCCTATGCTTTCCACACAGCTTCTTGGCTGTCTCCTAAAGCTACTCCACCTACTGGTTTTACTTGACCCCTCCCCTCCCCGCTGAGAGCTTCCATCCAAGGCATCAGTCCTCCATTCTCCTTAATCTCTTCTCCCTTGGTGAAGTCCTCACAGCACAGAAACATGCTCAAGACTTCCCCACGTGAACAAAAGAAAAAGAGCTGTCTTCCCTCCTCTCTAATCTACTGATCCATCTCTCCTTCCTTTCACTAGAATTTTTTTCTGAGAATAAGCTACACTCCTGCCCCATGGCCATGGGCCCCGGCGTTCCTCAGCCGCTGCAGCCTCCCTCTGCTACAATCCCCTCTGGCTCTGTTCTCTCCAAGGTCATGGTCACTTCCTCCATGTCAGTCTAAGTGGCCTTCTCCACCCTCCACCTTCTGACTTCCACAGCATCTAACAATTATGATAATAAACGTCATAATGGACACAGCATCTACTGTAAATAATGACAGTAAATTCTTGTGTGATACTTAGCACCATGTGTCAGGCACTGTTCAAGTCCTTGCCACCACCTTATGTGACAGGGACTGTTATTATTCTCATTTTACAGATGAAGCACGGGGTGGTTAAGACTTGTGTGAGTTCACAGAGCTGGTCAGAGGCTCCACATTCGGGCAGCCTGTCTCTCTACTCAAGCTTTTAATGACCATGCAACCACGCATGAACGGATTCAGAAACTGAACGGATTCAGTGACAAGACACACTCCCCACCCCCACCCTAGCTTCTGAGGCCTGTCTGTCTCTGTCCACAACAGTATCCCTGTTTCTGGTGCTTTTTAAAATGTGTATCCTTAGTCTTCCTCTTTTTTTACTCTGCCTATGGTCTTTAATCTTTTTGGGCCCCGGATCTGCCTGCAAATTAGCTGGCAGCTGATGGGTCACCAGAAAAGGCTTACGTGAACCTGTACTCAAAGCTGGCATGTAATTTCAGAGTGCTCAGGGGGCTCTGAGACCATTTAAGGATCATGGGCTTCTCATTGCCAACCTCTGCTCCAGGCTCAGTCAGGATTTACCTCCGATCTTTGCTTCCTTCCACCTACACCAGCACCAATCACTCCCTTCTCTGATCCCTGTTTATACTACTTATCAGAAAGATCAGAGTGTTAGTTTTCATGGTGTGACATCTCCACTGCATGGTAAGCAACCTGTGGGCTGAGATCCTGTTTGATATTCCCAGGGCTGGCACAGTGCATAACACACAAGGACATAATAGACAGTGAATAAAACCTGGTGAACTGAATGTGCTTATTGAGCTGACACTCTCCTATTTGTTTTACCATGACATGAATTGAGAGCTATAACAAAAATATATAATTGCATTGAAGTGCAGAGGATGCAGGAAGTTCGCCAAGATGAGAGAAAGCCCCACGTATAGCATGCTGATCATGTGCATGGAGCAGACTTGTAAGGAAGCGGGGCTCACAGAAGCATCAGGAACCCGTGCCTCGAAGGCAAGGAGCATGAATTTCTCAGCAGAAGAGCCAGGAGCCCAGCAGATCAGTCACTAGCACCTTCCCTCTTATCCCTCCAGCCCAAGGCCAGGTAACCCAAGGGAACTGATTGGTGGATGGATGGGAGACAGGCTCCAGTGCCCGGATGGGGTCTCTGAGAGTCAGGCTTGTCTTACAGCCCGGCTGTCCTTCCGCACGGAGAGGAAGGGTGCTCTTCTGTAGACACAGCTCTTGCAGATGAGTGTTTTTATCCCGGTGGAGTCACTCACTTGTTCCTTCCTTTTGTCACCCACTCCTCTGCGACCTGGCGGCGCTCTGAGATGCTCAGAGACAGTCCTTCTCCCGTCGTGCCATTCACTGTTCCAAACAAAGGGTCAGTCAGTGGGGCCAACTAGTACCTTTCGCTCATCCAACGCTGGGAAGGTGGGGGTCAGAAATCCCTGCTCAAGGGGAAATGAGAGAAAAGTCGGAGGACAGAATCAGGGAGGCGGAAGGGAAAATGCCGTGTTTCTGTTTTCCACCTTCACCTTGTCAAAAAAAAGTAGCAGGCAGGTTAATTCTGACTTATAATTACAGACCGGTCACTGTTATCAGGAATGGAGAGCAAAGAGAAAGATAACTGCCCATGTTTTAGGCAAATCTCCAACACACCACCCAGATCGATATTTGGGCCCGAATGGCAGGAAAATCAACACAATCCAGTCCTGGCATGTCCAGGCGGTCGTGACCTCTGCCTGTGGTTTGCCATGGGAGCACTCTAGGACTACTTCTATTTTTTTAATATTAATTTATAAGAAAGCACCAGGATGTTAGTCCTTTTTGGAGCAAGCACTCATACATTCACGTCTCACAACAGCCCTGCAAAGTATACCTAATTCTCCTTATTTACAGAGGAAAGTGGGAGTTTCTGAATCACTAACTAATCCAAGCTTGAATCCACACCGCTGCGATTCCGAGACTTTCTCTTCCCCGAATGGGTCCCAGAAAGGATGCAGACAGCACGAGGACACATCCCTGGGCCTGAGTCGTGTGGCAGCACTTCCTGTCTCCAAACCCTGGGCACTTAGCAGGGACACAGGGGAGGGTGGGGGAGGGGAGGCGAGGGGGAGTGGGAGAGTGTCTTGACTTGATCACTCTTCTGGGGACTTGAGCCACCTCAGGCACTCCCTGGAGCCCTTGGAGGAGGAAGAACCCACCTTCCCCACTATGGCTTGGAGCCGTAGGCGGGCACTGAGAGGTTTTGTTAACAGGTTTTGGTTGTGACTTGTGGCCACCTCTTCACAGACGTTTTAGCCTGCTTTCATTATGACCCCGTGGTGCCTCCAGTTCCAAAGGGGACCCTGTTGGTACAGCGGTAGCTCGGGGCCAAGGTACAGTGCACTTAGAATGCCAACCAGTCCAAGGGGCTGGGGCCCAGGACCCAATGCAAGGGGCGTCCTGGTTGCAGGGGAGTACGGCGGTCAGGCTTAGAGTGCCCATGGTCTGACCTTCTAAACTCCCACCATCTATGAGTAAATGAGGGTGACTGCCAGTTCTCTGATTGCCTTAAAGTCTTTCTTACATTAAAATATGACAAGTCTGGGGGAAGAGAGAATGAAGCCCATTCGTGTAAGAGAGAAGCCTGGGTTTTGTTGCTCCTCTACCACTTCTTGGCTGAAGAGCCTTGAGCAACCCAAATAACATATCTGAACCATAAATTTTCTTCTTCAGATGGGAGTGAAAGTAACACCTTATCTGCCTTGAAGGCACCCTACCACATTAGATAGTCTCTGGAGGTGCTTTTCAGGTCTGAAGCTGATGAGCCTACACGTTCACAAATGTGACATAGCTTCGCCAGACTCTGTCATAACCTTTGACACGATGACATGGTGATGTCCTGGCTATTAACCAGGTGAGAGTGGCTAAGGACTGAGCTGGAGTTATGCAGAGAGATGTCTACAGATGACTTACCAAAAACGTTCTTCACTCCCTGCTTTTCCACAAGATAATCCACATACTGACCAATGACTGAGAAGTTGATTTCTCTAAAAGGCACAGAAAAAAAATAGAAAAAAAAGGTATACTTAGTCTTCTTTTAAGAACATTATTCAGTCAGTCCCCAAGTCTATAATCTGCTCTCTGTTGTTAATAATTTTTTGAAATCCACCTGGTCAGTGAAATTCTTTGCCTTTCATTATTGTTTTTTTTTTTCCCCTTCCGGGTCTGGTGGTGTCTCTGTTCAGCCACGTGTTCCTTACTTATGTGAGCAAAACACTATTCATCAACAAAGGCTTTGCATTTAGTTATTAAAAATCAAGTAATATAGAAAAAGAAATTACTGAACCCTCTTTTGTCCTGGTGAGGAGCAACCATGTCAGCTTTAAAAAATAGGAAAATTCAACCTTAATAATTTAAGAACTTTAGCACTTCATATTTATGACAACGAATGAAGGCTCAATCCACCTGTATTTGCTAGTTTTAAATCAAAGAGGATTAAGAGTCGAAAGGAACTTTGCTGTCACTTGGCCTCTCGAAGTGTGGTCTGCCGAACTGCAGTATCTGGGGGAACCTGTTAGAAATGCAGAGTCCCAGGCACCACGCGTTCCTCCCCAGCCAGACTCTGCATTGTGACAGGATCCCCATGGCATCTGCATGCACTTTGCAGATCGCTGACCTTGTGAGGATCCGATGCTCACGGCAAAAAGGGCTCTTTTCCTGAAAATCATGTCGATTTTAAAATCTAGAAACTGACTCAAACACAAACCATATAAACGTCACCTGTTCTCCATCAAAATATGGGTGGAGAGGAGGGGGGCGGAGAGTGAAAACGCAAAGGGGACCTGTGGCACGAGTCTGTGTTAAATGCTGTGGAACCCGAGGCTACGTTGACCAGAACAGAGTAGTCATTGGCTGCCATTTGCATTTTGTCAGTGGGGCCAGAGAACCCTAACTTAATTTTAACCGTATTGACACTCTTTTCTTATTTACTTATTGTCTTCCTTAAAAAAAACAAAAACAAAACAAAAAATCCGATGCCTTCGGGAAACAAAGACATAAAAGGGTATTTGTCAAAAAGAATGGGAACCATAGAGACCAAAGCAAGGAATGCACAAGCAATCACCGCCCACAGCATGAGAATGACAACCAGCCACAGCTTGCCACAGGGAACAGGTGTGTTTCAATGCAGTTGGAAGGCCTCCAGAGGAGCAGACTCCCCCCTCTACCAGCTTAAATGCCAAATCCTCACCTCTCAGATTTGCTGAGGAGGGAGGTTCCCTGAATGTGTGACAGGAGCAAATGCAGGCTGCACTAACTTAGAGATAAGGTGGGGGAATTCGCTGCCTAACAATCCATCTCAGGACCCCCACTGAGGTGGCTTGACAGGCTCAGACATTTCTGGCCACTTAGGGCCGTATGTTTATAGTACACCTGCTCCTCGCTGCATCTGTCAGTTCCGTCCCCACTTGGGACAAGCTCTGAGATGCAGGAACCACCAGCAGGGGCTTTGTTTGTGTGACACTAATGCTGGCTTTGACCACCGACGTCCACCTACTCATGCAAACAACCAAGAAACAGCTCCAGCCGACCCAGGGGACTTCTGAATCACACATCGAAGCACAGATCGAAACCTAGAAAGAACCTCCCCAGAAAGAGCCTGCATTGGAGTTTCAGATTCAAAGGAGGTGGCTCTGGTACACTTTCACTGAGGTCTGGAGCCCTCCCCAGCCCCGCCCACTTTCTCAAAGATGCTGACAGCAGCCCTGTCATTTTCACCAAGGAGAGGCTTGTAGAGCTCTGGATGGTACCGGCCTGGTAGGCATGGTGCATTCTTTCGGTTTAGTTTAATCTAACGCTTTCTCGTTTGGGAAAGGAAGCTGGAGAGCTTGTTTACATTCTCAGAAATCCTTAAAGAGAGAAACTGACTTGGGCTGTGAGGGTGCCGGTGTGTGTCCCTGAAGTGGACTCCTGAAGTCAGCAGAGGCCCCTACCACCAAGTGGGCCTCGAATGGCTAGGCCCACACAAGGGCTTGGCACTGTCCCTGGCTTCAGGGGCATGCTCAGCCATCACTGTGGTGACTACTCCTCAGCGATGGAAACCAGGCACTGAGATTCGGGAACGTACAATGGTAACGAAATGCCCATGAACTGCCCGAAAAGCAGCGTATCCTCACACTTGCACCATGCTTTTAAATTTCACTCTTACATTCAGCAAGTGAAGGAGATCCTGTATATAAATAACTACAGTATTGAGGAAAACATGGTGAAGGCTGTGAGTTGAAAATGACGTCGTGTGTAGAGGTCAGAAGAGGGACTGATCATTCTGATGAAGGAGGTGTCAGGGAGGAGGTGGACCTGGAGTAACGAACAGGATGAAACCCCTCGATCCCGTTCCTTCCCAGATTTTGGGGGGCTGCTGCTTTTCTGCCCTGCCCTGGGGCCCTCCTCTTCCCAGGCAATGGGCTGCACCGCCAGACAAGTACGGGAAACTGGGGTCCCCCTCCTTCCTTGGTGACTCCACACTTTTTTATGGCTTCAGTGGGCGGTGTTTCCATCCACACTTGTCCCCGCCATCCCCCCCACCCCCCAACTCCTCCAGGCCTTCATGACTGACAAGCTACGGCAGTTTCACTCAGGTTAGGGTTGCTCGTGAGTGATACATTATCTGTCCCTCCAAGAACTTTGCTGCTTCTGCTGCTTTTTATAAAACGTGTCTAGCCTGCAGGGGTGCTGCTACTGGTGGGATTTCCTGGCCTTTTGGAACTACCAAATCCCCTTGGCAAGGTCAGAGGTTGACAAGGGATGGCCCCAAATGTATTCTGTTGATTTTTCACAAGGCGAAAATTTCTTTTCATGTTAAAAATAAATGATTTTCTTGGAAAAGTCAGAAGATGTACCAAGGCCAGGCCTACACTTCCACACAGCACCAGCTGGCCACGAGGCGCAGTGGCTGCCCCCACGGAGGCACAGAAGCCCCGGGTCACCTCAGGGATGTCGGATCCCCGCCTGAGCTCGGGTATAAGTCTCAGCCCTTCGCAGAGGCGCTCAGTTGTGCCGGTTACCAGGAAGTTACTGGTGAGAATGGAACAATGAGAATTGAACTATTCGTCTCCTCACCAGCTGTTTGGGAGTTGGTCCTCATGGAAGTGAAAGGTAGCACTTGAAAAAATCAGTTCACTTGAAAAAGCTGAACTGGCTTTTTACTGTATCTTCTCTTCCTCCAAGAGCCCCAAGAGCACATCTCACCGTTGGCTGCCTTGGGGGAGGCAGGCTCAGAACCAGCCCCATGCTCGCTGCAGTCATTCTCATTCTTAACTCAAATTCAACACCTCATTCCAGTTCCCCTGGGTTCAGAGCCTTTGCCTTAGGTCCATGATTATATTTTAAATAAGATCGTTTAGCCCTGGCTGGTGTGGCTTAGTGGATTGAACACGGGCTGCAAACCAAAGTGTCGCTGGTTCAATTCCCAGTCTAGGGCATATGCCTGGGTTGCGGGTCAGGTCCCCAGTAGGGGGCGCACAAGAGGCAGCCACACAATGATGTTTCTCTCCCTTTCTTTCTCCCACACTTCCCTTCTCTAAAAATAAGTAAATAAAATCTTTTAAAAAATAAAAGCATTTAACTTTTTTCATATTGCAGAAGCAATATAATTTATTTTGGAAAATACACACAATAAGAAAGGGAAAAAAACCTGTCAAGGTCTCCCTGTAGATGATTATTCTTATAAATTTGACATTTTTCTATTCACAACTACACAGTGAAGTATTTTCCTCCATAACTATCGGCATGTTATACATTATTGCCATAGTTTTTCACAGCATTCCAAACTGACTATTATCCCACTTCTTCAGATATCCTGTGACTATACCGGCGACACAGCATGTCAGTGTATAAAAGCCCATAATCAATGTAGCTAGTGCTCTATTCTTAGATGTTTAGTTTGCTTTCAAACTCTGTAAGAGGAGAGACCTTCAATCAAATTATTTTTAACCACAAACTGAGGCCTTGAGTGGGTGAACTATGAAACCGCACATGGACTATATCTCTCCCCATAGGGTCTAAGGATAACAGAATTTTTCTGAAGTCTCTTTTCAGAGGAAAATCTCCATTACTGTTTATTTCCTCTCCTGGCCCACAGTGCACAGGAAAGACTGTCTCTCTGAGAGCACAGAATCCACAGGACGGCTGCTTGCGTAACTGGCATGATCTGGCATGCATATCAGGAAACCTGGCATTCCAATTCTTTTGCCTTTCACCTGTCTCTTTCAGCATTTGAAATCAAAAGGAAATTATGTGTGCTTTTGGCAAAACACCCACAATACTTGGTTAGTTCGAGGCTCCTTCAGCAGAGGAGTGAGCAGAGATTACGTCTGCCCCAACTCGCCAGAGCATGTTCCGCGCATGTGGGTCGTGAAGTCTCCCAAACTCAGCGAAAACGACAATACTCTGCCCAACTCCAACTCCAGCAGGTCAGGCCCTCACTGGCTGGGGTAATGGGTTTTGTTTTACTGGAGACCGTGGTGCAGATTCCCACGGTAAAGTCAAGGGCATTTGAGGGACAAAACACAACGCTTTTTCTTGATATTGTGGCCGATCTGAAAGAGACTTCTCTTCTAACGACTGTACTTGCCTGAAGCAAAAAGTCACTTCTTGAAACAACTAAGGAAAGAAAGCAAAAGTCTTTTACTCCAGTGCAGACACAGAAAAGGGTTGGGCTGGATAGAGAGAGACTTCCCTGTGCAGCTATGTGGGTAGCGGCAAGATCTTTGGGACCTTGGTTTCATTCATTGCAAAAATAGGGGTGACAGCTCTGTCACAGAGTTCTCGTGAAGACTAAACTGGAACACGTACATGAATGTGCCCAGCATGATGACTGACACGGTGCTTAGCCAATCAGTGTTAGCTTCCTTTTTCCTTTTTTTTTCTTTTTGACCATCAGCATTATTCATCCCTGTAGTATATTCGCTCATAAAATAACAAAATTTACCACACACTGTGCTAGATGCTGAAGACACAAAGACAAATAAGTTACACGCTCAGTCTTTGCATGTTTCCTGGTACTTAAGAGATAGCTACTGAATAAGGTTAGGCCATTCAGGCCTGCTGGGAGAGACTGGCATGTGACAAACAGTCATTGTCAGACTTCCTGGACACAAATAATTCTGATAGAATGTGAAAAGGTATGTGCAGGGTGCTGCGGGACCACAGGGGGAGGACCCTCTCGCTCTTTTCAGGGAAAATGAGGAAGAATCCCCATGGATGGTTTTGACAGAAAAAAAGAAGTGTTCAAGTGCAGTGAGACAGGAGAGGATGGTGGTGGAAACAGGCAGAGGAGCAGAATGTGGAAAGGCACGGAGGAAGGCGGGGTATGCGGGTTTGGGGAACTGAGCGGTAGCAGGAGGGCAGGCTGCGCAGGGCTTCTCTCTGCCAGCCCCCCACTCGAGGACATCAGCTTATATTATATTGAGAGAGTTGATTCCTTCGTGAGGATTCCTTAGGATCATGAACTAAAAAGGATGCACGGTAGTAGTTCTTGCTCAGCCATCCCAAAGCACGGAGTCCGTGGTAACACTGGCCGAGCCAGGTTGGGAAAACTCCCACAGTGGCAGGCCACCGGGCAGAATGTCCAGGTGTGACATTCCATGGGACGTTTCTTTGTGTCCTGTTTATTGCAAACATGTCCAAAGTGCAGATCCCCTTGTGGGCAAGCACGTTAATGCTGACCCGCTCCTGGTGGGCGCCCCAGGCCTGCTCCGACCCATACAGGACAGTCTGGATGCAGTGGGCGGTGGGACAGAAGGGACCCAGCCCAGCTTATGTGCCCACCATGGGCTGTATGCATTTCTAATGTACTAGTTTTATGCTTACAAGCCCCTTACAGAAAATGTATTCTTATTTTGATTTGAATTGATGGAAAAAGAGAAAACAGAGAAATGGAAGCAGGAGGGCCAGAGGTACCTGGGAAATGGAGAAGGAAGCAGCAGAGCAGTCAGGTTAATAATCTCCAACACATGGGGCCTTGTGTCCCAGGAACACAGCAGAAAAGAGAGGAAGAGCATGCTGCGACTCTCAGAGGGTCCCAGATGAAACAGTTAAGACTGACTTAAGAAGCCCCTTCTAGCCCTGGCTGGCGTAGCTCAGTGGACTGAGTGCCAGCCTGCAAACCAAAGTGTTGCAGGTTCGATTCCCAGTCAGGGTGCATGCCTGGGTTGCAGGCCATGGCCCCCAGCAACCGCACATTGATGTTTCTCTTTCTCTCTCTAAAAATAAATAAATAAATCTTTAAAAAAATAGCCCCTTCTAGGCTAAGGGTGGTCTGGTTGAAAAGATTACGCAGCGTCACCCACAAGTAGTGTTTTGAGTTCGCAAACAGGATCTTTCTTACTCCATAACAGGAAGTAAATTCTGCCTGCTCACGCAATCACATGTCCTCTGTTATCTGCCCAGCCAGTGGCTGACACAGGGAGAAAAAGCTGACTTCAGTCTTTCTTAGAACTTGTGGAAAAGGAGAAGCAACAGAAAGGAAAAAAAACAACAACAAAAACTGCTACTAACCAGTGAGGAATCTAAATGCCATCTCAGTCAGAATTTCGTTTAGACCGAGCAAAGATGTATTTTTCATGCACCTTAGAACCTGGAAGTCTTGAACTCTAACGATCAATGGGAAAACAGTGATGTGGACAACTTTGAATGAGCACAGTAAATATTATAAGAAATTTCTTCTATTTTAAAGGGGGAGGGTGAATATTTACCAATTCAGCAACAGAAAACCAAAAATTTAAAAAAGCCTTATTTACAGATATCTTAAATTCCTCCTCTGCCTTTCACCCCGATCTGATGCCACAAAAGCAGTTCTGACTTTTGTCCCTAAGCGCACACTGACCCTGTGCTAAGCACTATTCTGTGGAGAGTCTCACACAATCCGTGATGTAGGTATGGCCATCATATTTGATGGAGGAGGAAAGAAGCATAAGGAAGCCAGAATTCTGGTGGTTTGGGTAGACTGACTCCTCTAAAAGGTCAAAACCATGTAGATCCAGGAGGTGGCTGAATCTCCTTTCCAGGAGGCAGCGTCCTGGGAACAGCTATATGTCATCCATGGGCACGCAGCACAGGGCCATTACCTGATAGTGTAAGTGAACGGACTGCCACACTTTCACTTGGAAGTGAAGTACTTGTCTGGCCAACAATTTCTCAGCCATCATCTGCTGTCACCTCCCACTCCTGCAGGCTCCCCAACATTCAACCAGTGTGGCAATGAGACTGTAAACATGCCTAACGGGGTCTCTTTCGTAGCTCCCTTCCCCCCTTTCATCCCGTCTCTGAACAGTCTGGGGTGGAGTCACCCAGAGGCCTAGAGCCAGGATCTAGAGGGGCCAGGCCAGGGCTGGAGACCAAACCCTGCAAAAATGAAAGTCTCATCCGACTCCACTGGCCTTCTTTGGGAAAGCCGGGGCTGGGGTAAAATCCCAGAAGAATCTGCATTGTGGAGCTGCAGACCCTAGGAAAAGGCCAGCCGCTAGAGCTCATCATCTCTCTCTGCACTGTTTTTGAATTTGAGATTCCTCGTCTCTGACTGGGGTCAGAGACAGTGCAAACAGATGACTGATGGAAGCGGCCACTTGACACCCGCATCACAGAAGTACGGAATTTAAGTGACTGGGATACGGAGAACGTCAGCCCATTTCGACGGAGTGAGACCAGACCCCTCTGAGGCCCCAAATGGTAGTTACCCATGCTCAGTCATCGGCGTGATGGTTGCTGCAACCAGGCCTTGGAGTTTCTTCTTCGGGGAGGCCATTGAGCTGCTGAAAAAAGTCTGGAAAACACACAACAGAATTCCTCTCTTCTTCAAGGAAGGTCAATTAATGATAAAACTCCTGGGCGAAGTCTGTTCGCCATTTTGAACTGTGAAACATGCTTTCTAGTAGGCAAAGACAGAGAGCAAGCGAGCACGTAGAATTTTAGGGCCTAATTCTAAAGGAGGAGAGACTGTTTTTCAAAGTCAGGAGAGCAGCGTTCTGGCAACATGCCACTGAGAGGGCGATGCCAGGCCTCAAAGAGCAGAGGTGAAAAAGCAACAGACCAAAGGAAGAACACGAACCTAGCTGGGGGGGCTCAGATGGGGAATTACCATTACTCACATGGAAATAGGGTCTGGAGAAGAGGGACCTTCTTGTCTCTTTCTGTACCTTCAGTCTGTTGGGCAAGAAATGTACTTAAAACCAGCACTTACCGTTTTAAGGATTCCGTGTAATCTTTGCAGCTGTCTTCAGATTTAACTAACTGTCCTCTCAGATGCTAATTCTGAATGGTTTTGTCCTGTTTTTCTAGTTCTAATATGCCACATAAACAATATTGTAATTATTTATTCATTTCTCCTGCACTAGACCAAACTCCCCAGGAAAGGGAATACATTTTATTTGCCTTTGCTTTTCTTTCACCGATTGCTCTGCAGACACCTGTGTCCAATTAAAAATGGACGGATTTTTGGTTGATTGAATGAAGTGTTCAGACCGTAGTTGGATGATGACTTTCAAAGAAGGGGGAAGTCAATCTGACATAACTCATTTGGGGAAAAGGATGCCTTGCCATTTGTTAGACAGTTTCCTTGTCCATAACCAGGATAGAAAAGCCGAAAAGTTGCCCAACACAGGGAAGGAAAGCAACACGGCATCCTGGGTAATCGCCTGGGTTCTGCAGGCAGACTGCCTGGTTCAACTCCCAGCTCTGCCACTTCCTGGTTATAGAAAATGTTATTATTTTTTGAGCTGCAAGACATAAAAATCCGAAGCCACAAATGCAAAGTTTAACAACTGAAGAACATAAAATACAATCAGATAGGATTTGATGACGATTATACAGAAGATGGTTGGCTCAGAACAAATATAGTGATGTCTACAGGTAATCAACAAGAGGGGTATATTATATTTTTGAGGACACTAGCACATCTAAAAACTCACGATGACTGTTGTTTAACCCCTCTATATTTTAATTTTCCTTTCTACAAATGAGGGTAATAGTAGTCATACTACCTAGGGTTGTTGAGAGAATTACATGAATTAATTCTGGAAAAGTGATTAACACTAGTGCCAGACACACAGTAAGCACAAGTTCAGCCCCTCCCTGAAGTCTTGTCTGACGGCTGTAGGGCATTAGCAACTACTGTCCTCACTCCCTGACCAGCACCCTCTTCCCTGTCATCTCAGCTCCTCTGGTACCTCCTCCCCAACCCCAGCTACTCTTCCCATTCAGGGACTAAGTCCTTTCAATTCTGTTATCTTCTTTCCTGCATTCCTTCCCTCTCCCCTGACTGCTCCTCTCCTAACTGACCCTTTGCTTCCTCTTATCTACACCAATGGGCACAACCCAGGTCCAAGGGGCCTCTGGGGGCTCAAGAGGGTTCAAGTGATAAGAGTCCCAAGAGCTGAGTTCAGCAGGAAAAGGCTCCTCAATCAAACAGTACTAGGCTGTTCACACTAGACTTCCATACTCTTGGGCTTTTAGCTGCATTTATTTCATGACTAGGTCAGTTACACTGATATTCTTGTGATGGTCAGAAGCTCAGACTGGCAGATATATATCTATTTGATTGAAAGAAATCAAGTCCAGTGACTTAGTATAGTTTGATTAGTTACAACTTCTGAAGCATGGGGGAGTGGGAGGAGAGTTGGGAATCACTGTCCTAACTCCCCCTCTCTTATCTTCTTTCAGTCCACACAGTCTGGAGGTTAATCGTTCAGTAACACAGACTTTCTGACCCCTCCTTTGCCAATAACTTTTCATCCTGGCTCCCATGAGCTGAAAATGCCAAACTCCCTGGTCTGGTCTCTGTAAAGATCTCTGCAGCAGCCGACCCTGTCGAGGCTGGCCTGCTTGCCTTCTCCTGTGGGTGTCCAACCTGGAATGCTGTTGTCTCTCACTTCAGCTCCTTCAGTCCAGCCAACTTTTAAAAGGCTAGGGAATATCCCCCGATCCTCCAAGATGAAAATAATTTTGTACCCCTTAGAGCCTCCCCAAACACTGGCTTTTTATTTAAAAACCTTACAGCAGGGTAGTTTGGGCGCCTTGTTTAGGCTGTAAGCCATGTGGGAGCAGGAAACCCTTAAAAATATGTATCTTTGCACAGATCAACACCCTAAATAAATGAGCAACGTTTGCTGACTCCGTGAAATGTGAAACTCTCACAGGAAGAGATGGGGTGAAAGATCACAGCAGCTGTGACTGGGGAAACACCTATGTTTTGTCAATTTGAGTTTTAAATACACTTGGTAATGTTCTGCTTTGAAGGTCTTTAGAGCTTGCGTCAAGAGCAAATGGTTAGAATGTTCTCCAGCCTAAGGTTGCATGTGAATTTAGAATATGACTGAAAACACTGGGGAGGAGGTGTTACTCTTGAAATCTTATGCCTGAACCCACAGCCAAGAACACTCAGTGCAAAGGATTCAGGTGGCCTTACTCAAAATCGCTGAGAAGGGCAAAGTTTAAAAAAAAAAAAATCTCTGGGGGAGGAAAAGGATGCAACTGGATGAGGAGAATAATTGACAGAGGAATACTTGGAAAGGAAGAAGCAGAAACAGAGACACGAAACAAAACAAATGCAGAAATACGACCAACTTCCCGCAAAATGAAGAGACTGTATCAAATTTAATCGCTAAATTCTCTGGTCATTTTCACAAAAGGATTCTTAGAGCCCAGCCGCGTGACGAGGAAGGAAACCAGGGTTCCCTTTGTCCCCGTCCGTCCCTCTGACACTTGCTCCAGGCCCGAGGGTGTCGCCTTCACACTTCCTCTGGCTCCGTTTCCCAGTTTCCCAGTTTGTCTGCCTTCCCCTGTTCCTCGCCTTCTCCCCTCCGTCCCCTGCGTCCCCTGCGCCCCTCTGCCCGAACCTCCGGTGACCTTTGCGTCCCCGCGCGTCCCTCCACGCTCACCCGAGACGCCGCGGTGGTCTCCCTCGCCGTGGCCGTCGCCGCCGCTCCGCGCAGTGCGGCGGGTCGGCTCCGCCGCGCCCCTTATCTCCGCAGGGGCCGCCCTGCCCCGCTCCTCGCGCCCGCCACGCCCAGCGACCCTGGGCGCTGTGGTTTCGCGCCTCTTCCCGCCCAGCGCGCAGGGCGGCGCGGACAAGCAGAGTCGCGCGTCCCTCACCCCAGGAGCGGAGCTGGCCCTTCCCTGGGTCTGACTTGACTCAGGTGAGCTGAGGGGTCACCCGCGCGGGGGCCCGGCTCCCCGAGAGCTGCGCGCGGCCACCGCGGTCTCCGCAGCGAGGGCCCACAGGCTCCTGGCTGACCCCTCCAGGGCATCTTTAGGTCTGGGTCTCGACTTTCCTCCGTCCCGGGCCCTGCAACAGCGGTATTTCGTGGTCGTGGGCTGTGAACTTCTGGCTGCTTCTGCCCCAACCCCTTACGCTCTCCTGTTAAAAAGAGAGGGGAACCGATATTGAAAGCAGATTAGGTACTAAGTGCAACAGTTTTTCTGGCTTATTCTTGAGAACAGTTGAAAGAGTTTTGAAAGGGAAAAGTATTTTCAACCAAAACACCTCCACTTGCAGGAATAGTAAAAGGTTATTTTCTAAAGTCATGTCCTGTGCTAATAAATCAGAACCCCCTCCATAAACAAGTCCTCTGCTTTCTCTAGTGATATGAAGTAACCTCCGTCTTCCAAATGAAGCAATGGCTGAGGCTTATTATTTCATTTAGAGAAAATACATTCCCCAAAGGGTTTTCTGGTTTGCAAAGTGCTATTAAATCCATAATAATCATTCCTTCATTGCACAAAGCACCAGTAATTAATTTATGAATTCACGACACAATCCTATGTGGTGGGTATACTTTAAATTCAGATTTCATAGATGAAGAAGCGTCATCCCACTCTACAGATCAGAAACAGGCTTATTTCTTGACCTCTAACTCCACTGGGAGGTGCTCAAGGCCGGCACCCTGACCTCTGACTTTGTCTGCCCGAGTGCAGAGTACAGTGTAGGCCCACCTGCAGGCCCAGAGGGGGAGGTGGGAGACATGTACTCTCTTCAGCTCTCTCTATTAATCATTATTTTCTCTTTATTATATTTTTTCCATTGCCATTTAGTCCCTTCATACCCTCTCCCCCCCAGCAATCACTACACTACCATCTTTTTTGGTTTAAAAAAAAATATATATATAAATTCCACATTATGTCTTTTGTTTTCACTACAACTCAAGTTTGAAACCCAGCAATGCAGAGGCAAGCTCTGCCCACTGGTTTGTCAGTTTCTCGAGGACAGTAACGGGTCTGTTCGGTTCCCGGGGACACACAGAGTGCCTGCTCCATGGTAGGCACTCCGCTGATGGTCCAACGAGCACGCAGTGCAGAACATCTGTTGGTGACGGAGAGCACAATGCTGGCTCTGTGGCCTGAACGTAGACTTTAGCGCGGATAGGGGGAGGGGGCCTCCTTGAGGACAGGTGTTGATGCCATAGCAGGGAGCCTTGTGGCCAAGAGGACCGGGGTCAGCACAGGGGACACAGGAGCTGGGGGAAGAGGACTCTAGTGCGTCTTAGAGAGCAGTCTGCATATTGTTGCCTCGTGGCTGACTTTGAGACCCTCTTCCTGAATTGTACCCCTGGACTCATGCACCAACACACTAGGTTAAACAACTAGGGTTAAACACACTAACTGGTCATCTCCTACTAACTGGAAAATTCAGGCCTCGTGTGACTACTAGAAAGGGAGAATTATGAAGGTGCCATAGGCTGAAAACAGAAGAGAAGGTTAACATTAATTTTGCTAGGCAGGGCCTCTGTGACAGTATCAGAATCATTACAGGGGCAAGACTTCCTTTTGAAGGAGACTCACTGGGTAGAGGCTGTGCCCACATGAGCGTTATGTCCTGGGGAAGCGCATAAGCGAGTCTGTTCTTCTGTGACGATGCACCAAGGGTTCCCCAGGGATGGCAAAGAGAAGGGAGCACATCCTCCAAAAGCATCCAAACTCAGTGCTGCTCCTGTTCCAAATATGGCAAAAAACTCACCACTAGGTGGCAGTCTACCAGCACAAATTGCTTTCTCTTTTAACGACTTTGCAAACTGTACGTTTCTGGAAATATCAGAAAAAAAAAAAACAAAAAAAAAACCTAGATAACATTTTCCTGATTCCATTTCCTTATTCTCCTTCCCCCCAAAATATGTGCAGCTGACATCCTCAATTTTAACATTCTTTTAAAATCTGTCTCTTAATATTAAAATAATGAAAAAGTGATGTTTAGAAACACAGAAATTAGAAGTAGAAAATTAAGTCCTTCTCCCCAAATATTGATTCTTTGGGTTTTGAAGATAAATGTGCTTGTAAAACAGTACACTCAGTGGTCTTAACTTTTTGATGTATAAAGAATACTTAAAAATCTTGCTCACGTTTAACTTAGCATTTTCTCCCCTATGAATATAACTTTGCCTCCTTTTAGCACTTGAGGTAAAAATGGGGCAATTGGGAGAAATATAATTTCTCTCTTCTATGAAGAATTTTTAGCTATGTTCTTTTTCTGAGTGAAGGGAAAACTCACTGGAAAGAATTTGATGAGGTAAGTGCAATTTGAAATTTAATTCTCCTCCACCCAAGGCTGGTTAGATTCTTGATTACAGCTGAATCTGGGTGCCAAATAGTTGGGCTTCTGGAGGTTGAGTCCTCCCCCCACCTTCCTACCCCTTCAGCTAGCTGGTCGCTGCAGGGGGCAGGAGCCCGGATGGGCTCTGTGGGGGCCACCTGGGGAGAACTTGCTGGTCTTGTTTCTCCTCATTCCTTCCACCCAAACCATCAGGTCCTTGCTGCCCTGGAGTCGTTCACTCAGATTCCAGCTTTCGGTGTCATTTCCACCATCCCATTGACTACGTTCTCCTGGGCCTACTGGAGAGCTCCCATAAATTATTCCAGCACTTTCTCAGGTTAGGTGTTTTAGCTGTAGCCAGATTGTGAGCCTTGAAAGAAAAAATGTATGATCTATATTTGGCCATGTGTTTAAAGCTGAACCAAGTAGGTTAAAAAAAAGCTAAGTACATAACAGTATTCAGTTCTTCCATTTGTATTAAAAGTAAAAAAAAAGAGGCCTGTGTAGAAGTATATCCTGATATGCATAGATAGTTCCTAGAAGAACAACAGAATAGTGAACAGCTGGTTTAGCACTGGCAAGCAGGGATGCTGGAGATCCTCTCTATATAAGCTTTAACTCTTTAATGATTGACTGAAACTTCCAGAGGGAGGGGCAGCACTCCAAGAGCTCAAAGCAATGGCAGTTTACCAACCTACAGGGAGCTACTTAAATGTTCTAACTTACACATTCAGGCTACTGTGCCAGCAGCTCTCAATCATTTTTCCCGGGAAAGGGGGTTAAAGGCAGGAAGAACTTGTTTTTCAATGTGCCCATTGTTACTGTGTGAAATGTTTTGTTTGTTTGTTTGACTGTTTGAATTCTATGTAACCATGTGCTGGTAGAGAGAATTTCATTTTGTCCAGCTCTGGAGGCAAGCCTTATTTTTAGAATTTTTAGAATTCGGTTCTGGGCATTTCCATCTAGTCATCTGACTCCAGTCTGTCTGAAACCTCGGGGCCATTTTCTATAGTTCCATCTTGCTGGAAATGCTTCCACCAGGGCTGTGCGTCAGCTGCTTTTCTCCCGGGGAGGGGGAGCCCGGCTGCCCTCCCTCTCACCATCCCTCTTGTCTCCACCCCCAATCCCAACCTTGCTCTCGGAATCTCCTTTTGTTACCTTGGGCCTCTGGTCTCTCCACCCACCAGACCTCACTCCCTTTGCCAACTAGCATAGATGAGCATGCTTAATCTATGGCCAGACAATGCGGGCTTTCGGGTGTTCACACAACTTCAGGTTTGTGCAAGCGGCTTGCCCTGAGCTTTGTCTGTGTCTCAGCACTATGGGAATGGCCATTATGTTGGCGGCACTAACTCACCTTGCTCTGCTTGTGCCTCCACCTGCCTGGCAGACAACCACCCTGTTCTCCAAGTCTCCCTGTTTTTTTGTTTGTTTGTTTGTTTGTTTTCAGGGAGGCATGGTTGTACCACCCGTGTTTCCCCCCTGCTATCCGTTCCTGTTCCAGTTTGAGCTCCTTGTTGGTGTTCCCTTCCACGAAGCCACTAGGGGGCAGTGTTTCATCTCAGCCACTGTCCCACACTCAGCCAAGGTTGTTTTTCTCTGGGGCCTGAAGACGTGGAGAGAAGCCCCTTATCTTCTACTTTGCCATATTTTTCCCCCATCCAGGTGCCAAAGCAGTGTGACCTGTGTCCAGTGTCTCCCTGAGACCACTCCCTTCCTCCCTGCAGGTTCTCCTTCTATAAGCTCAGGTGTGGGTCTAGGGAGCTAAGGCAGGGACAAGACGTTGTTTCTCCACCTCCTCTCCCCCCCCCCCCCCCAGACCTATCATCCTTTCCACACCAAGGAGGGTTCTATCATCCTTTTCACGGCTGCCGTGAAACTGGCTTCACGCGGTCACTTTTCCCCAGTCTGATCAGCTCTCCCCGCTTCATCCACTCCCTTAGCTTGATCACACTCTTAGTGGTGGGCACAGCTGGCTCAGGCTGGCACCCTGGCCACACAACTGCATTCACACCTGTCTCACGCGGCAGTGATCTGTTGACATGTCTGCTTCCCGTTAGATGGTGGGTTCCTCCAGAGTTGAGCTCCTAACTGTGCTTTTCATCTTTGTATCCCTAGCACCCCATCCCTGCCTATCACCTGGCAGACCCTGGTAAGACCTTTTGGAAGAATCGTCGAACAGCCATTCAGCTTAGATGCACAAAAGGAAACAGCTCCTCTTCGCCAAAGGGATACTCAGGCAACACACACACACACACACACACACACACACACACAGGGAGGGAAGCTATCCTTAAAGGGTGACCTCTGCCCTACAAAGTAGGCATTCAAGGCCGTGTAGGCCCCTCGGGTCCTTAGGGGTAGACCGCATGCAGGGACCGAGCAGAACTTCCGGGAGAGGCTTGCACTGGTCTTGTTTTGAGAGAATAACGTGTTGAACAACTCATTAACCAGCTACATTTTGTTGTGTACCTGCCAATGGGAAAAACAAGGTCAGAAACACGAAAACAAAGACAGTATGGCCAAACATATTGATCAGAAGGGGAACAAGCAGATGACAGGGGACAGAAC